ATTTTTGGCTCTTGTGGTTTTTCTAGGCGAATTTTACGTTAAGTAGTTTGACCTTGCTTACAGAGCGGTCAGCTCTCGGTACCACTGTCAAAACCAAAGCAAGACAAACCATCTGTAGCTGGGATTGAACCAGGAACCTCAGCATTGTGAAGCATGTTCCCAATACCTAAGCCCCAAACGGTGACAAGTTCAACTCAAGTCATGTAATAAATGACTTGCGACTTGAAGTTTTGTCCAGCTAATTGCAACTTGACTTTTGACTTTTAGCTTCGTTGACTTGGTTCAACTGGTTGTTCGTGTCCGGCCGTCGTGAGGTTAGGTCAATCAGCATGACATTTTAAAACATCTTCACAAAAAACTTCTTCTTCTCCTTCAGCATTCCGAGCCCTTGGGGTTCATTGCTGCAGATATCACCTGCCTCCATTCATCTCTCTGGTTGGCCTTCTTCAGCATTTTGAGCCCTTGGGGTTCATTGCTGCAGATATCACCCGCCTCCATTCATCTCTCTGGTTGGCCTTCTTCAGCATTCCGAGCCCTTGGGGTTCATTGCTGCAGATATCACCCGCCTCCATTCATCTCTCTGGTTGGCCTTCTTCAGCACTCCGAGCCTTTGGGGTTCATTGCTGCAGATATCACCTGCCTCCATTCATCTCTCTGGTCTGCCTTCTTCAGCATTCCGCGTCCTTAAGGTTCATTGCTGCAGATATCACCCGCCAACCTTCATCTCTCTGGTTGGCCTTCTTCGGCATTCCGAGCCCTTGAGGCTCATTGCTGCAGATATCACCTGCCTCTATTCATCTCTCTGCTTGGCCTTCTCTTTCCAGTCGGTGACACCAAGTGTTTGCAGGTCTGTCTGGACATTATCTCTCCATCCTCTTCTTGGTCTGCCTCGTGGTCTACGACTCTTCATCTCCTTGTGTATACAGTTTTTACTTCTCTGTTATCTGATATTGTCTCCATTTGCCCCAGCTATTTCAGTTTATTAGCTCGCATGATGCCAGTGATTTCACATACAACAGGACAGAACAAAATTCTATTCCGACTTTCCAAGCTTTCACATTTGATTTTTTTCTGCTTTTATATATTGTTAGTGAATTTTTCATACTGCCATGTCAGATTTTATATTTGTGCCATTTTTGATTCATCCAAAAGCTTTGTCCAATACAAACTAACAAATGACTTGTAACATGAAGTTACTTGAATTGGAAGTATTCTTGGTGACTCAAGACTTGACTTGGGACTTGGTGGCTCGAGACTTGACTTGGGACTTGGTGACTCGAGACTTGACTTGGAACTTGGTGACTCGAGACTTGACTTGGAACTTGGTGACTCGAGACTTGACTTGGGACTTGGTGACTTGAGACTTGACTTGGGACTTGGTGACCCGAGACTTGACTTGGGACTTGGTGACTCGAGACTTGACTTGGGACTTGGTGACTCGAGACTTGACTTGGGACTTGGTGACTCGAGACTTGACTTGGGACTTGGTGACTCGAGACTTGACTTGGGACTTGGTGACCCGAGACTTGACTTGGGACTTGGTGACTCGAGACTTGACTTGGGACTTGCTGACCCGAGACTTGACTTGGGACTTGGTGACTCGAGACTTGACTTGGGACTTGGTGACTCGAGACTTGACTTGGAACTTGGTGACTCGAGATTTGACTTGGGACTTGGTGACTCGAGACTTGACTTGGGACTTGGTGGCAACAACGTGGGACTCAGATTAGACTTGAAGATTGTTCACATTCAATGTCTGTTGATATGCAACCTTGAGCAGATCAGGCTTATCCGTACAGGAATGAAACTGATTCAGGGAAAAGAGAGACTGAGGAAATAAGGACGTCCAGCAGAAACCTTAGGGTGAACAATGATGAGGGAATCTAGTCTAGCAGCTTTGTTCTTCAGAGACTGAGTAAGAGTGCATGCCTCACATCCACAAGGTGTCTAAAGAAAGATGCACGATCTCAGAATGTTTACATTAACTTGCGTGCTGGTGTACACCCTAGGTTCATCCTGCTCTTTAGCTCTGCCAAACCAAGTCTTTTTCTGACTTCTTTTGTGGAGATGCCATAGCCAAACCAAGTCTTTTTCTGACTTCTTTTGTGGAGATGCCATTGCCAAACCAAGTCTTTTTCTGACTTCTTTTGTGGAGATGCCATTGCCAAACCAAGTCTTTTTCTGACTTCTTTTGTGGAGATGCCATTGCCAAATGAATGACATAACAGGAAAATAAATTAATGAATATTTTACAGTAGTCAAAACAATAGTCTTATTGCAATGCAAAGATTAAACAGCATTAAAAGTCTGTGGTTAAGCACCAACATGGGAAACAAAGTTAACATTCTGAGAGCATGCATCTTCCCTGTAGCAACATACGGATGTGAGTTGTGGACTATCTCTCAGTCCTTAAGAAAGAAAATATGGACTTTTGAGGTGAAATGCTATAGATACATTCTCAAAATAACATGGAAATACTGACATTTTAACAGATTAAAACATCAAGAAAGATTGGCTTATAAACAGCAAATATTCTCAGAAGTTTAAATGTTTTGGTCAAATAAAGTGCCATGGCGGACTGGAAAAAATAATAGTAGAAGGCATGGCATCAGGAAGGAGAGGCAGGGGCTTACCAACATGAAGATGGGCACAGAATTGAAGTGACTGCTCATGTGTGAAAGTACACGAGGCGGAAGAACTGGAGAGTTGTGATGAGAGTGAGGTTCTGCAAAGGACCAGCTACATGATTGCTCTCAGGCAGACTGTGATGAGAGCGAGGTTCTGCAAAGGAAAAGCTGCATGATGATGATGATGATGGATGTTTCCTAAAACTGATTTTAAGCTGGGCTGACCAGAGAAAAACAATTATTTTACAAATTTCACCATAAAGCAGATTTGAACCCACACACTTTAGGCCAAAAGGCAAACATCTGAATACTATAATACCACTGAACCGAATATGTGAACACAATCTGTCTGTAAATTACATTCATCTTGTCATAAAATAAGGCATTCATAATTTAAAAATTGAAACAAATATAAGTAAAAAAAGTAAAGGACCCTTGTCCACGCCTTTACGCTTATAGGGTATATAGGGCTAGACCTATATTTTTATAAACCAATCGACACAAGATGAATGATGTGGTCAGCATCACGCCGGCCATCTTTGAAACAAATATACTTATGTAAATATAAAATTTAAAGACAATAATATATCTTAGTGACCTGATAAATGTCGTTTAGGTGAAAGACATCCTTTGCAGCACTCTTTTGGGACATCTTTCTTCTTCTTAATATTCTTCTTTCTCCTTCTTCTCTCTTCTTTTTCTGATGCTGCTGCTGCTTCTTCTTCTTCTTTTTCTTCTTCTACCAGCTTGCTTGATGAAATGTTGACTTTGACATTTCCAGTCTTCTTCTTCCAAATGTAGCAATGTTGCGCAATACAAGACTCTTAATGTCTATTAGCCTCTCTTGCTCAAGCCTACCTCACCTTCACCTGGTGGACCCTGTTCTTCCCAGCAATCCAGTTGAAGGTTGGGGTCTCAACCCCCAGCGGGAAACTGGATGGGACAACAAACGAGGTAAAGGTGAAAGACGAATGGATGAGCCTACTCTCCTTGAGTATGACCACAGTCTACCCTTGCACAACAAGGTGCTGAAGTCGGAGGCAACCAGCCAGGAGGCGCACCACAGCAATCAGGATGCCACGCATACACGCCATGGAAAACAGGATTGACTTACTGACCATCCCCCCTCCCCCACCCCCACCCCCATGGTTATAACATAGCCTGAATTCTGGAATTCTGCTGTTACTCTGGTAAGAAGGAATGAACGAAGTTCAACCCCAAAAGAACCACACAACGAGCGACCAAAACGTGGAGACACAAAGTGCCGCCATTCAGATGAAGATCCTCCAGACACAAGTCCCAGAAACCCCATTCAACCGTTAAGTTACATTAGGGCTCCCAACTACAACGGGGGTAGAGTTTTAAAATAATTTAAAAAGTTTCCCCCCATACTGGGGCAGAACTCGTAACTCTACTCCAGTATGTATGTATGTATGTATATATGCAAGTTGTACCCCACCATGACATCACACAAGCGATAAACACCCGGTGACACAAAGAGGATCACCCATGGAGAGGTTCGAGAAAGCCTGTTCAAACATCAGGCCATATTTATGGGCCGGCTATATTTGAGGGACCCCGGCAAAAGCCATGGTGGGGCTTCAATTGACGAAAAATTGCATCCCACATGGAGTCAAATAACGAAAATTGCATCCCACATGGAAACATCTTATCTATACTTGATTACTTCAGGGGTTCTCCTAAGACAGCTCATTGTTGTTGTTATCAATCCAGCGGCACATGAGCTTTCGCCCAATGCCATGTAGTGGAATTTGCATGTTTTCACAAGCTGTTCTTTTCCTCCGTACAAGTTGTTCCACTTGTCTGGTCTCGGAGGGAATAGCATTCTTCTAGTCTGAGTTCTGAGTTTTGGGCACTCAAAGAGATGGTGTTCAACAGTTTCGTAGGGGTAGTTACATAGCTGACTGACTGACTTTCTACCCCACCAGGACATCACACAAGCGATAAACACCCGATGACACAAAGTGCCACCATGTGGATGAGAATCGCCGTGGAGAGGTCCCAGAAACCGCGTTCAGACAATTGGCCATATTTATGGCCTGCCTATATTGCGGCCCCTGGCAAGAGCCAGGGTTGGGCTTCAAATATAAAAAATTTCGTCCTAAAAAGGACGAAATACGTAGAGTAGTTAGCAGTACCAACATCCTCAATTTACATATCTGCCACTCAAGGCAGCTCATATTTGTTGTCATCAATTAGCAGTGGAGGCACATACAAAATAATATCAACAATGAAAGACAGACAACAAACAAAGAGACATAAAACAGCAGATGCATCAAGACATGACATGGTTCCCATGAAAGCTGCAAGTCATTTTCTGAATTACAAAACACTGAAGTCAATCAGTTTCCATCATTGTCCTTTCGAAACTTCTGCCCTTGGAGAGTAGGCTCCCTTCTTTGCCAGCAGCTCTTGGTGTGTGCCACTTTCGACAACTCGGCCATTCTCCATTGTGTAGATGATGTTAGCATTTTGGATGGTGGAGAGGCGGTGAGCAATGACGATACTTGTTCTTCCTTCTCTGGCTTTGTCTAACGCTGTCTGCACAGCCTGGAAATGATTGGGGAAAGAAATCAAGTTTAGAATTCAATGTAAATGACTGGGAAAGAAATCAAGTTTAGAATTAAATATAAATGATTGGGGAAAGAAATCAAGTTTAGAATTCAATGTAAATGATTGCGGAAAGAAATCAAGTTTAGAATTAAATGTAAATGATTGTGGAAAGAAATCAAGTTTAGAATTAAATGTAAATGATTGTGGAAAAAATCAAGTTTAGAATTAAATGTAAATGATTGGAGAAAGAAATCAAGTTTAGAATTAAATGTAAATGATTGCGGAAAGAAATCAAGTTTAGAATAAAATGTAAATGATTGGGGACAGAAATCAAGTTTAGAATTAAATATAAATCATTGGGGAAAGAAATCAACTAATTAGAATTTTGGGATGTTTTGAATGTGGAAAGAAATCAAGTTATGAATTAAATGTAAATGATTGGAGAAAGAAATTAGTCAAGTTTAAGAATTAAATGTAAGGAGCAGAAAGAAATCAAATCGCCCCCCCCCCCCCCATGAAATGTAAATGATCGGGGACAGGCAAATCATTTACAGAATTAAAAAAAATGATTGGGGAAATAAATCAAGTTTAGAATTAAATGTAAATGATTGGAGAAAGAAATCAAGTTTAGAATTAAATGTAAATGATTGTGGAAAGAAATCAAGTTTAGAATAAAATGTAAATGATTGGGGACAGAAATCAAGTTTAGAATTAAATATAAATGATTGGGGAAAGAAATCAAGTTTAGAATTAAATGTAAATGATTGGAGAAAGAAATCAAGTTAAGAATTAAATGTAAATGATTAGAGAAAGAAATCAAGTTTAGAATGAAATGTAAATGATTGGGGAAAGAAATCAAGTTTAGAATTAAATGTAAATGATTGGGGAAATAAATCAAGTTTAGAATTAAATGTAAATGATTGGGAAAGAAATCAAGTTTAGAATTAGATTAGAATTAATTAATTTTGCTGTTTCTAATTTGTCTTTCCTCAAGAACTTTGGCAGAGTCAATAATTGCTTGCTGCTCTGTTCTGAAGTTTGTCCAGAGTCTTCCGGAGGTGCATTACGTTTTAACTGTGGTCCCATCTTGCACCATGAGGATTGATCCAGCTCCTCCGTTTTTTTTTTTTTTTGGGGGGGGGGATTCAAGGGACATGGTTGCTCCCTCCTATTTGAAGTGCGGTTGGGATCTTTTGATATGATTTACAGCTAGGCTGCTGTAGTTGTGCCTTTTTGCCCAACAGACTGATTTCAGCAAACTTGTAATTAGTCATTTTCAACAACATTTTGGCCAGGGAGCAGACAGCCTAATTCCCACTCCACCCCCCCCCAGACCACCCCCATAGGGGCTGGGAACCTGCAGGCAAAATTACAGAAGTAAAAAAAGATCAATGAAGAAAAGGATGAGCTACAAAGAAGGAGCTTGAGGTCGTTACAAGGGAGTGCACTGCAGGGATAACACAGAGGGAGTTGCCATGGAGGGTCTGGAGGGAGCTGTAATGGGGATTAAGTGAGTTCAAGGAGGACAGTGAGTGAGCTCTAAGGGAGGGAGAACATGGAGCTGCAAGGGAGGACGTGGAATGAGTCAGTAGAGGACATGTAGTCAGAGATTCAAGACAGACATGGAGTCAGAGATTCAAGACAGACATGGAGTCAGAGATTCAAGACAGACATGGAGTCAGAGATTCAAGACAGACATGGAGTCAGAGATTCAAGACAGACACGGAGTCAGTTACTAGTGAGGACACGAAGTGAATCCCAAGATATGACAACGGATCAGTTGAGAGCCTATGCTTCATTGGGGGGTAAAGAACAGAAGAAAAAGAATAACTGAAATAACACCTTTTCACTCTCCGTATCCAGAGCAGACGTAGCTTCATCCAGCAGAAGGATCTTGGGATTGCGGATCAAGGCCCTGGCAATGGCCACTCGCTGTTTCTGTCCACCTGAGAGTTGTGTCCCCTTTTCCCCGACCATTGTGTTGTAGCCCTGCAGATGTAAATAGGGTAAAGGTTAAAGGTGAGAAGACTGACTTTACTGCATTGGAATATATCCCAAATGGCTGGGTCACTCTCTATGTCAAACAACTAGCGCCTTCTGCCAAGAGCATTACACAAAGCAAGAACTAGCGGTGGTGATAATTGAAACAGGGACATCATACTGAGAACATAGGAACATAGTAAACTATGTTACAAATACTATAATGCCATCTCACATACATCTTAAGGTAAATCATTACAGTTTAGGTAATATCCCTTTATTCAAATGATGAAACTTAAGATTTCAACTTTTAAAAAAAAAAATGACAAAGAAATGCAGCAAGATCAAATACCATCACATCTTAAAAGATCAGCTACAAAAGCAAGAGGACGGCCACGGAAATATGGATCGACAACATTAAAGACACTCTACGCCATCACGGCATGACAATAGCCAGTGTGCACTGGATTGTAAATTATTCCTCCCCACCACGCTTAACGACAGAAGTGGTTTATGATGATGATGACTCGCCGTCGCCATGGGCTGTGAGTCCCATGTCTCTTCATAGCTCATTATAAAACTACTATCCGGAAAGATGGAAAGGTGCGAACAACGACAACATTTAATTAGAACAAATAAGACACAAAAATACATAGCACATTTTATTGACTGGCATATTTTACTGTATCTTGTCAGGTGCATACTACAGTTAGGTTAGTTGAGTATCCTTTACAGGACGTTGCAGAACCAACCCCAACAGCCCCTGGCTGTTGTGTGGTTTTTGTAGGCAAATTTACGTCCAGTAGTTTGTCATTGCTTTCTGGACGGTAGGCTTCCTTGATACCACTGTTGAAACCAACGCAAGGTGCATTGCCCACAGCTGAAATCTAACCCGGCATCCCGGCATTATAAAGCGTTCGCATTGACTTAGCTACAGAGCCGACGCATACTACAGTACCAATTACATAATTGAAGCAAATATGAATTTACAATGAAGAAACGTTTTGATTTTCTGAAACAACATTTAAGACAATGATGTGCTAAAATAAAAACGTAAAAGTAACGGACCCTTTTCTATACTTTTAGGCACATTGGGCATGTAGGGCTAGACCTATATTTTAAAACCAAAGGGTGATGTGGTCTGCATCACGCCGGCTACCTTTATTTCCCAGGACTGCACCTGGTACCCATTCAAGGCTGGGTCAACCTCATTTTATTTTTAAAAGTCTGGCTCCGCCAGGGAGTGAACCCAGGACCTTCCGATCCGCAGACGAGCGTCTTAAGCTAAAATAGACCCACTTAACTCTTTGAATCCCAGGGAACACATCATATGTTCATAGGTTCCTACCTAGAAGCCCAATGAAAGCATGGTGTGTCGATTTTAGTCTCTCTTTACTAACCATTGGGTCTGTGTTGCTAAACCCCCTGGGACTCAAAGAGTTAAAAAATGATACACTGAATTAACCAATCACAGCTTCGCTTACATCTGGCAGATTGGTTATAAAGCTGTGTGCATTCGCCGTTGTGGCTGCTGCTATGACATCTGCCATGGGAACTTCCTGCTCCAAACCGTAGACTATGTTTTCTCGAATCGTGCGGTCAAACAGAACTGGTTCCTGACTGACCACGCTGATCATAGAACGTAGGGACTTGAGATTGTACTGTCTGACGTCTAAGCCATCCACAATCTGGAAATGTTTGCAATACAAGACAAAGTAATAAATAAAGCATGCAGACACACATACAACACATACAACAAACAGACTGAAATGGCTGGGGCATATTGAAAGAATGTCGGATGACAGAGAAGTAAAAACTGTATACACAAGGGAGATGAATGGTCGTAGACCATGAGGCAGACCAAGAAGAAATAGAGAGATAAAGTCCAGACATATCTGCAAACATTTGGTGTTACCAACTGGAAAGAGAAGGCCAACCAGAGAGATGAATGGAGGTGGGTGATATCTGCAGCAATGAACCCCAAGGGCTTGGAATGCTGAAGAAGAAGAAGAAAATACACACATACAAAATAGTTTTGTCAAACACTTGTGGTCACATAATATTTTGTACAAAAATCCTTATAATTTTTAGTCAATATTGCCATGAAAATTCTGACCACTTGCTGTGTTGTAGAAATGAAAAATTAATGAAAGATACCCCTTTGGTTGCCAGATTTATTTAGTATAAACTGACCAAAACTTAAATATGAGAAGACACTTGATGTGATGTTTGAAACATGTGATGTGTCAGCAACACATTATGCCTTGTTGGGTAGGAAAGAGTTAAAAGGCATGAGGGATTCATTTGTTTCATTCTGGATGTCATCTTTGTGTGAGTTTTCACATATCTGGTACATGATTTCTAATTTCGGTATGGGTTATAATATTTTGTGTATATTATTTTATTTCTTTGTTGTTGTTGTTGTTGTTTGTTGTTGTTGTTCAGGAATGAGATCATAAGAGAACAAGTCGGCACAGAACCAATTCTGGATTACATACAAAGACAGCAAGTGAAATGGTTTGCTCACTTAGAGAGAATGCCTTGTGACACCATACCATACAAAGCATACATGGAAAGAGAAGAAGGACGTAGAGCACGGGGTAGACCAAGAACAAGATGGAAGGATAAAATCAGAGAAACTCTACAACAGCACGATGTGCCTATGGTCGAGGCAGCCAGAAGAGCTAGAAACAGAACTTTATATCTCCCCACAGCGGTAAAAGAGGAAGTGAAGAAGAAGAAGAAGTTTTTTTTTTTTTAAATACATGGTAAAATTGATACTTCTTAAAAAACTTATTAAATGATACAGAAATTTTTTTTCTGAAAACCATAACCATAAAAATACTGACATCCTAAAAATATGAAAATCAAGGAAGAGGTTTAAGGTTTTGAGGAAAGGATCACCATCAAGGCACACGGGTGTATCCCATAAGTGCACCGTTCTTCTTCTAACTCAAGTCTGAGTCCAAAGAAGCTCAGCTCTGTAGCACCGGCGAGGATCCTGAAATACTTTGGGTAGATTTTTAACTCCAAATTTTATCCTGGCAGCATCATTAGGTTACTCTTTTCGATTTCAACTGCCAAGGGTTTTTTTTAATGTGCCCAACAATACACACGGACGTCCGATCTCACTACCCAGAGACTAGGAAGAATTACTAGAAGACCATGTTAAAAAATAACTCAACCCTCACCGGGGCCTGAACCCGGGACCTCTAACACACAAGGCGGACACCATACCTCGAGACCACACAGCCCCCATACAACATAGGTCGAAAGTATTTCTTGATAAACATACAGAGTCTAAGTGTCACTGCTGTAAAGAACCGTGTTCAGGACGAAAGATTCATAAACTTTAATTTTGCTCCTTTCCGTGAGATTTTTGTTTGATCACACTCTTGAGAGTTTGGAAAGCCTTGCAGAAGCCTTTCCTATTGATGCGATAATATAACATAGTGTAATAAACTTCTTCGCGTTCGGTTACGTATGCTCAGATCAGACCATCAGGTGGGTTACCTCTATGAACTAACATGTCAGTAGCAGGTTCTTCATGGTTTTTGAGGCCAGGTGTCTTTTCGAAGTTGTATGTAGAGTGGGCAGGTGTGCAGTATGTGCTGAGGTGTTTGTGGTCCTGTCTGACAGACACACTGTGGGGACTGTACAGTCTTTATTTTATGCATGTGGTAGTTGAGCCTGCAGTGTCCTGTTCGAAGATGGAAAATTGTTGTATGTTGTTTTCTGTTGAGTCTGCTGATGGGGTCTTGTGAATGTTTACTGTTAGTTTGTTCTCTCCACAATCCCTTGTGTTTTCCCTTAATAAGTGTTCTGATTTCTGGTAATGACAATGTATCTGTGTGTTGTTTCTCTGTTATTCTATTTTTGCAAGATTTGTAATGAACAACAGAAGGGCCTGTTCCAGAGATCTCTCCCTGTCTTGATGGAGTAACACAGTTCAGAAGTAGAGAAAAGAAGAAAAATAAAAATTCATAAACAACACAATAACAAGACTTACTATAGAGCCTTCGGTTGGATCATAATATCTCTGAATAAGGGAGACAATCGTGCTTTTGCCACATCCACTCATCCCAACAAGGGCTGCTGTCTGTCCAGGTCTTACATGGATGTTAATTCCCTTGAGGATTTCCACTTCTGGTCTCGTTGGGTAGTGGAAATGTACATCCCGCAGCTGGATATCTCCAGAAATAGTTGGCTGCAATAAAAAGAAGACAACATAGTTTCAAGCTGAGTGACTGGCCTTCATTGCTTTATATTTTACGCCTAAACTCTTCAGCGCTGAGAAGCCACAAAGCAAGCAGTTGCAGTTGGTGCCATTTCCCCATAAGAGCCGCTTTCCCGACTTGCTATAGAGACATGTTCATCAGAGGTCTAGCTAACAGAATTAAATACATCGGCTTATGGGAAACGTTCAGACTAATGAGGAATGACAAAAATTCACTAAACTTGACGTTTAGTTGTGTTTCCATTTTTAAAAACTGGCTTTATTTATAGAAATGTCGATGTGATATTCTTTGCCTAACGATGCTGCCCGGGCAAAATTTGGAGTTAAAAATCTACCTAAAGTATTTCAGGATCCTCGCCGGTGCTACAGAGCATGTGCTGAGTTTCTTCGGACTCTTCGGACTCAGACTTGAGTTAAAATAAAAACGGAGCACTTATGGGTTACTACCCGTGTGCCTATGGTGTTGATCTGTTGTTCAAACTTCAAACTTCTTTTTAGCACTGACCAGCAGAAAATCCAGGATTCTCTTGGGCTTCTAGATTTTGTTTTTATTCTAGATCCAGAGTTTTGCCTGCATATTGGCTTTGTTGATTTGGCTCATTTGTGTGTGGACTGGTCATTTCTTGCCTCTGAGGCTGATGTGCTCTGATCTCAAGGGAAACATTGATCTAGTTTATGTTGGCCAGGTCCTTGTGGGCAACTTGTTTTTAGGATGATGCTGAGGAGGTAAAGGCAGGTCTTGACTAGTATGAGTCGAGGTTCTGATAAAACACCATTTGCAGTTCTTCTTCTTCTTCTTCTTTCTTCTTCTTCTTCTTCTTCTTCTTCTTCTTCTTCTTCTTCTTCTTCTTCTTCTTCTTCTTCTTCTTTCTTCTTCTTCTTCTTCTTCTTCTTCTTCTTCTTCTTCTTCTTCTTTCTTCTTTCTTTCTTCTTCTTCTTCTTCTTCTTCTTTTTCTTTCTTCTTCTTCTTCTTTTTTCTTCTTCTTCTTCTTCTTCTCTTCTTTCTCTTCTTTGCCTTCTTCTGGCTATAAACTCTGGTAAAAAGTTCTGGTTGTTCATTCTATTCTGGACTCTAGTCCTCGTGTTCTGGTGGAACTTCTCATAGAAGCTTTTCATGGGAAAAACCATTGGAGTTTAGAGAGGCTACAAACACACCTACCCCCCTGAACTCCCCCCTCCCCCCCCCCCCCCCCCCCCCATTCAGTTCTTTATGGTGCTGTCCTGTTAGATGTAATTTGGGGTGGCTTTTGCATAGGAGGAGTGAGAACACATAGGGAATGTCCAATCCTCAGTGAGACCAATTCTGATAACTTAAATTAACATTAACAGAACAAAGCAGAATTAGCAAGAGTCTGCATAAAGTCAAGGGAGATAACTCTGGAGGTGCTTGGTTTCGTTATAATGGAAGAGCCTTATATATAATTATATATATATATATACTGTAAATTTTAACCAGCTTAAATAGGCACTTGAAAATGTTCTGGGATATAAATGTGGCTTGTCTGATGTTAACAATCTTAGCCACCGAGTGTTGGTTCATGATCATCAAATTCCTTGCCAGTTGGCATAGGTGTTCATGAATCTCCACAGATCTCGGTCCTTGGTGTTCTGGGTCAATTCCACTGATGATATTCCTCCATGCCACTGTCCTAAGCCATCCACCCTAATTTCTCCTGGTCTCCCTCTGCCTCTTCTACCAGTGATCTTTCCAGTTGTCACTATATTTTTCTGTGCTCTTTTTCTCATCACATGACCAAGGAACTTTGTTCTGAGGGCTGGTTAGTATCTAAAAATGGACTTGACAACACATGTCTGAAGGAACTCTAAAAGTTCTTCTTCTTCTTCTTCTTTGCGTTCACCAGCTGTAAACTCTGGCAGAAAGTTCTGGTTGCTCGTCCACTACTGAACTGCAGTCCTGCTCCAGAACCTGAGTGTTGCGTGTGCATCAGTTTTACAGATCTCATTCTCTTTAATACAGACTGTTGGTTCCTTGCCTCTCTGGCAGATGCACTCCGACTTCAAAGGAAGCTCCCCAGTTAGTCGACTCTTACGACATGCGTTTGGGGAGGCAGTGGGTCTATTCTTGTTTTCCCCACAATGGGGCCCCGGAACCCACACAGGTGTAAAAGTTATTGATAATGGATAGTTGTTTACCTTAACAACGCCAGCAGAACTGTAGATGTCGATCTTTGGGACAATATCCAGAAGGGTGAAGATGTAGCCAGCGGACAGCTGAGCCTTGGAGTAGTCTGGCATAAAGGAGGCTGCCTGGCCCACGGACATCCCTGTGAAGGCGATAGCGAAGAAGACCCTGGAAATAAACAAGAATGTTTCAATTATTATTTCCCAGTTGTTAGTTTGAACAAATAGGGCACAAATAATAGATTAACTTGTTTGGTAGGTTATTTACACAACGGAACAACATCATGGCACAAGGTTGGTAACCCAAAAGTGCTACATTCTACTTCTAACTTAAACCTGAGTCTGAAGAATCTCAATGCAATGCACAAACTCCGTAGCACCGGCCAGGATCTTGATATATTTTGGGTAGATTTTTAACTCCAAATGTATGCCCAGGCAGCGCCACTAGGCTACTCTTTTCAATTTTCAACAACCAGGAAATTTGTTCCATGCCCAACAATACACACGGGCATCGATCTTACTACCCAGAGACCAGGGGAAATTACTAGAAGTCCATGTGGAAAGAAAAGCTCCAGGCTTCATTGGGGCTTGAACCCGAGACCTTTAGCACTCGAGGCGAGCACCATGCCTGGAGACCACTCAGCAACACTCAGTCAAGTGCCAAGATAGTCGATAGTCTGGAGAAAATGGTGATGGAGAGGGCTGTTTCCCGAAAACGAGGCTAAGTGACCTCCGTGAGGATGAGTACAGGACACTGAAGATGTATTGTTCATAAAAGCACACAGGGCTGGATAAAGTGGCTAGAGAAAGAGAGACTTTTAGGCGTCTTTCTTTTTGTTTCAAAACGCCTTCTGACTTATTTTGTTTCGTAATATAAACCTTCGTGTCCATATTTGTTTTCCTATTAAGTATTTCTTAGCTTCATACTGATCTTTAATTGTTTATACATTGCTGTCCGGTCCGTTGAATTTCCCAGTCACTGTTTGTATTGTTTTTAGTACTACGTTGATAAAGACTTTGATCGAAACGTTTTCCCTATATGGGTTCCGGGGCCCTGTTATAGGGAAAACAAGAATAGACCCACTGCCTACACCAATACCCTGTCGTAAGGGTCGACTAATATGGAGCTTCCTTCAAAGTCGGAGTGCATCTGCCTGATAGACAAGGAACCAACAGTCTGCACACAAATGAGTCAGATCTGTAAAAGGGCTGCACACGCAACACTAAGATTCTGGAACAGGACTGCAGTCCAGAAGTGGACGAATAACCAGAACTTTCAGCCAGAGTTTACAACCGGTGAATGTGAAGAAGAAGAAGAAGAAGAAGAAGAAAAGAAAAAGAAGAAGAAGAAGAAGAAGAAGAAGAAGAAGAAGAAGAAGAAGAAGAAGAAGAAGAAGAAGAAGAAGAAGAAGAAGAAGAAGAAGAAGAAGAAGAAGAAGAAGAAGAAGAAGAGAAGAAAAGAAGAAGAAGAAAAAAAGAAGAAGAAGAAGAAGAAGAAGAAGAAGAAGAAGAAGAAGAAGAAGAAGAAGAAGAAGAAGAAGAAGAAGAAGAAGAAGAAGAAGATCAAAACGTTCGGCTGTATTTATGCACGTCTTTTCCATTCCATTCTTTGATCTTTCTAGTTACAGTTTACGCTGTTTTTTAGTTGTTTTAGCCACATTTAGCTTGTCATGCAGCAGTATATTGTACCCCTAATTGCTACAGAACCAGCCGTCTGCCACACCGTTTGACGACATCAATAGCTGACGATGACGATGCTGGTTATAATCATGATAAAGATGATCATCATGATAATGTTTATGAACTAGTTTTCTTTCTCAAGGTTGACAAATAAAAACCAACACTAATGTAAAACGAAGTCATCCACCATAACGCAACGGTATACGAGGTTTGAATGTGTCAATACATAAATTATGCAGACACCAGGTGCGTGTGTGTGTGTACCCTGCCACGAATTCACGCCTTATAGATATTTCTGTCACAAGATATTAAACAGAACAGGCGCTGTGTTGTATGACAGTCGATTCTGTGTGTGTTTGTCTTGGCGAAAACAAATTTCCACTTCTTTAATTTGAACGAGTTTATTGCAAGGGCCTTGTTAATATTTAACCCCCGCCAAAATGAGCTACATGTTACTTCACATCCGCATTGATGCTTTAATATAACTGTTATGCGATTATCTGGGTTAAAAAAATTGTGGGCCGGTTTGATTCTTATTCATGAGGTGTTAATTCTACAAAAAGCAATCCTGGAAAGGAAAAATCTGCAGAAGAACTTATTAATGTAAGTATGCTTCTTCTTCGTTTATGTACCTGCTTATGCCGCAAAGCGTTACAATTGAATGTTGAATAAAAAATCGACATCACAGCACTCGGGACACCTTCATAAGCGCTCCGTCCCCATTTTCAGCAGCAAGCGAAGAGTTCCAGTTTCGATGGTACCAGTAACTGTCTAAGTGTATATCAGTCTCGCCTTTTCCCTGAGCGTTGAGCGTTGCTAGATCCTTTTGTAACTCCTTGCAGTGCCATTCTTCCCAGACCGTAATGATCTATCTGTTCACTCGCTCCCACGGGGCACTCACAACATTCAGCTTGTCACACATCAATTCACCACCATGCGGTGCAGGACCGGCCAGTTTATCTGCCAGCTCGTTTCCCAATACACCGGCAGAACCTGGAGAAAATATCCAAAGGATGCTAACTACCCAGAACCTCTGAAGCGATGATTGCCATTCTGCACTTTGCATGCCTGTTTCTGCTTTTTTCAACATGCTCTGTGAGTCAGCTACAGTTAAGAAATGTATGTACAGCTGATTCTCAAACCAGCGG